TCGTCACTGCTGGACTATTTTAACCATTTTTATGTGTACAATTCAGTGCCATTAATTACACTATCAACACCATCTGTTTCCAGAACTGTTCCATTCTCCCAAACAGAAACCCAATAGCTCTCTATTCCCCCATCTCTCAACTCCTGCTAACCTCTGTCTCTGTGAATTTTACTCCAGGACCTTGTGGAAGTGTAAACGCGTGTAGTTTTTTGTGTCTCAATTATTTCACTCGGTATAATGTTTTCATGGATGATTCATATTATAGCATTCATTTTTGAATATTAAATAATGTGCCTGCCATGTTATGTATATTTCATACTTAGTGTGTCCATTCATCTGAACATGAACAAAGGGAGGTTTTCATTTTTTGACTAGAATAAGGCTGCTAAAAACATTGGTGTGCAACTGTTATGGATCCTGAATTTTCATACAAAGGGAGGTTTTCATTTTTTGACTAGAATAAGGCTGCTAAAAACATTGGTGTGCAACTGTTATGGATCCTGAATTTTAATTCATTATCCTATGGTAATAGCTATATGGTATAGGCAATAACCTATGGCTATGTATGCATGTGCCTCTCTGGATAGTTGTTTTGTTTCATCTGTTTGTTTTTTGAGACGGGGCTCACTATGTAGCCCAGGCTAGACTTAAGCCCACAATCCTCCTGCCTCCACCTCCTAAGTGCTGGGATTTCAATTGTACACTACCACTCTCTGCTTTGGATAGCTTTTATAACCAGAGACTCTTCTGCTTCCCCCAACTACCCCTCATCCCCACTGAGGAAATGTGGGTGGACTGGTATAAGAAAGGGGCTTGGGTCCTCCAGTGGCAGGAGAGTTGGGTGATTATTTTTAGGAGTGAGGTGGTAGGGGTTCAGTGTTCTTTTCTGAGTTCTAGATAGGTTTGCTACCACCTCCAGCCCCAGGCCCAGCCTTCTCTCTCTGGTAATATCCATGCTGTCTCACTTTTTCTCTCCCAGGCTAAATATGGAGTGTGAAGCTGCTCTTCTTCCCAATTTAGCATTTGAATTAAAGTGAGAACTGAATGTGGCTGCAAAGCTGACTCCCATATGTGTGTGAGAGAGGGAAAGGCAGAGCGGGAGTGGGTACCTGCTGGGGAACAGGAGCAAGGGCAGGGGGTCTGGACAGCTCCTGCATAGCTCAGACAGATACCCATGCTCAAGCACAGGCAAGCAGCTCAGCAGAAGAAGCTGAGATTTAAGGCTGTTCTTCCAAGAGTAGAATAATACTTTAGGAGCACCATTCAAACAGCCCGTGATGTGCTGAGGGCCGTGTACCTGGCTCCATACTAGATACTGGGCAGCAAACAATAGTGAATCAGTTGTACCCACTGCCTAGGCCTAGGCTATCAGAGTGATGTGGAACTAGAAACAGTGGGCTGATGTTTGATGACAGAGGGAAGGACAATGTGGCAGGGATCTGGAAGGGATACTGACAATTTAGGGGAGTGTGTGGGGTGACATCTGAGCTGAGATTTGTACACTTGGAGTTGAGCTGGTAAAGCAGTAGACAAGGATGCTTGGGGCAGAAAGATGCATGCATGGACGCGGCTTCTGCAGAGTACAAAGCTGGATGAGTTGTCTCAAGAAGTATCCTGTGCCTCCTACTCTCCCTCTCTCTTCTTTCCCTTCATATTGGGGAACAAACCAGATGAGAGGGTGACCTGGGCCAGAGCAGTCTGGAAGCACAGGACTTAAGAGACAGGGCCTTATTATGTGGCTATGACTGACTTGAAACTTTCAGTGGTCCTCCTGCCTCTGCCTCCTGAGTGCTGGGATTGCAGCTGTGCCCCCCCGATAACACCTTCTGCTTAGGCCACTCAGGAAGTAGACCCCCGTAGACATGGCACAGAGGTGTAGGTTCTGGATGGTGTCATAGGAATCAAGGTATCAGGAAGGGTCTCTGCTTGACTTTGCTGAACCACCCTTCCCAGAGGGCTGGCTGAGTTGATCCTGGGGTCTTCTTATTTGGTGGGGTGGAGTCATAATTTTGGTTTAGATAGGTTGGATGAAATTATTGGCCAAAAGAAACCTTGTGTTGCTGGGGATGTGAAAGAGCTTGTCTAGGGGGTTTATGAATCTCCCTGTCAGCATTGAAGTTCCCAAATGACAGGTGCAACTAAGGGATGCTGGTGTAAAACTCACTGTCAATATTTCAGGCAACATTATTTATTGATCACTCATCTTGCTGAGACAAAAGGAGAGGAAAGGGTAATTCATTGGGGATAAAGGGCTGGTGGGGTCAGCTTAGGAAAGAGGTCAGAGAAAGGTAGGTAGCTGAGGAGACTCCTCACTCCTTTAGGCCCTGCAAGAATGCTTGGGAATTCCAGGGCTTGGGGACTACGGACTTGGCCCTCTTTTCCAACTCCATAATATCCTAGAGGAAAATAAAGGAAAGGGCAAGGGGGTGGGGGTGGGGCAGGGAAGCCTGGAACAGGCCTGAAAGGCCACTGTGTGAGCTCTTCCCCCGCAATCCCCACTTCTGCCCCTCTCTTCTCCTGATCCTGATATCTGCTCCAGATGTCTCTTCGATGCCAGTTAGGAAGCTATATTGGGTCCCTCCCAGAGTCAGCTTGGTAATTTCCCTGCTCCCGGAAGTGTGCAGGGTCCTAGTGCCAAAAGCTCTCTTTTTCTGGGTCCGACCACCTCCTGTTTGGAGTGGACAGAGGGTGTGCACACAGGCTAGGCTGGGGCAGGGATTGCTGTAGAATCCACCTGTTCTATCTACCCACAAAGATACTTTTTCCATGAATCTCCCACTCCATGGAGTGGAGTTATGAGGCACTCTGGTCTGCAGGCTTGAGCCACTGTTATCTGCTAGGCGATGGAATCCCATACTGGGGGAAGTTGTGCCACCTAGTGGTGTTTTCTATGCCTTACAGGCAGAACTCCCACCATCATCACCTTCAGCCTAGATGAGGGGCCTGCTGTTAGGTAATACCCAAAGAAGGCCATTGTCCAGCTCTAATGCTCCTTTCTCTTGCCCGACAGGCATGACCTAGCACAGAGAGGAGACAACTAAGTATTTGGGAAGGAGATGGTGGTTCATTGGCTGAAATTTAAGTTAGCAGGGAAAACCAGTGGGGGCTTTTGACCTGGAAATAGCTTGTTCCTGTCATCCAGGATGCCACACATATAGGGACCACAGCTTAGAGTCCCAAACCTCTCCCTCCTCTGCCAGCCCTGCTTCCTTGCAGGCTGAGCAAGGCAGGACTTAGCTCTGCTAATGGGGGTGGGGTTTGCGGGGGGAGCTGGCACACGCTGCAGGGAGCTGCTGGCTTTCCTCTGACGTCAGGGCCTGGAAATCCCATTTTAAGCAGGTTCTCAGGATATGGAACACCCACAAGAAAGGGAGGAGGAGCCAGATGAAGCAGTTCCAGGACAGAGGCCTAGGGTTGTCTGATGTGCCCAAGGAGGCCTGAGCATGTGGTGTGACATTAGATCCCAGTCCTAAAGCCAATACCTCTCAAAGCCCCCTGAGGACGCAGGCAGTGAGTTAGTGCCCTCCATCTAGTTCTGGTCATGTACCTCTGACATCATTTGTACTCTCCTTCCACCCTGAGGAGATCTGAGGCAGAGGAGGGCAGGTGCACCTAGGGAATAGGGAATAGTATGAGGTCACCTAGAATCAGTGTGCCCCACCAGCCAACCTTCTTAGAGCCTTCCACCTATTCCTTCCTTTCCCCTCCATCTCTCCTCTCCTCCCCTACACCACAGGGGACAGGGCCTTGTGCCTAGAGTTCTAGAAGCCTGAATGTTTCCATGGCAACCGACCAAGGAGCTTGGAAATCTGAACATACTCATTTTGACACAAGGAAACCCAGATATATATGGAGAGGCCAGCAATGCAATCTGACAGTGGCCTCCTTAGGCACCATTGTGTGTGTGTGCGTGTAGTGTAATGTGGCAAATAAGATTTAGGTAGAGAATGTCTTACCTGTTTTCCTGGCCATATTGTAACTGCTAACATGATATTACAGCATTTTACTCTCTGGGAGACTTCCCTTCCCTTCCTTTCTGATAAAGGAATCAGATTCCTCAGGGGCCAATGCTGAAAGGAATGGGCTTCAGAGGGCTGGCTGACTAGAGGATTCCAGGAGGTTCTGGTAGTTTGGCTCAAGTATGGCAGGGAGATGTGCCCTCTGATGCCAGGGAGGAACATTTTGCCAAGGTTGGGGACTAGAGCCTGTCTGGGTCCCTCCTCCTCCCTCTCCCCCACCCACGCTGCTTTCCTTCCACAATGCTGAGTTATTTCTCTGCTCTCTTCCTTTGTCCATCCTCTTCAACTGCTGCCTCTCTCTGCTCATCTGCCATCCTTGATCACTCCTCCTGGGTTCTGGCTTACCAGGGCCTCCTCCTCTGCTAAGCATGCATCCCATGCCCTGCAGACTTCTCTTCCCTCCTCTCCTAGGACCCAGCCAGCTGCCAAGGCTTCACCTCTTACTTTTCTGGTGTCACATTAAACATGCCTCTGGCCCCTCCCTGCCTTTAGTATCCTCACTTTTTTGGTCCCCAAGACCTACAGGGCTGTTTTTCCACGGCATGTACCTTAGCTTTCTTTCCCCAGTCTCTTTCCTCAACCCACTCCAGCAGTTTTGGGCCTTTGTAAACACTGTGGCTCACCATCTCTAGCTCTGCTCAATAGCCCCCTGCTTCATTCTCACTTCCCTGGGCACCTGAGGTCTTTGTCCCTAGAGGTTATATCTGGCAATTTCCATGGGTTTCCATGGGGTCTACTAAGGTCTCGGGAGCAGGATTCTGAGGGACACCTCTGGGGGTGAGGGCCCCTCTTAGGCAACTTTATTGTCAACCCTTGAACCATTTTTCCAGATGGAATCATGGCCACTCTTGTCTGGAGTTGGAAGCTCCTGTATTCCTTCTGGTCTTTTTTTCTGTTCCCCTCACAGCTGGGCCTTACTTTTCAGTAGGGTCCTTCCCACCTGTTAGCCTGGTGGAACAAGAACACAGAGACTGAAATAAATGAGGTGCCAAAGTCTGATTTATTGGCTCATCCAATACCTAATGTCCAGTGGGCACCAAGGAATTGGAAGCTGCCTGGCTCCTGCTTTGTCCTTCTTCACAGGCTCCTCTTGGCCAGAGGGCGGGGCCCAGGCTGGCTCTGACAGGGGTTTGCTTGGCACAAGGAGGGGACCCCAACACAAGGATGGGTCCCCTCATGGGAGAGGAAAGGAGCCAGCTTGGCAGGGCCTCTACAGTGGGCCCTGAGCGTGGAATGGTCCAGCCTAGTGGCAGGGATGGGTAAAAGGGATCAAGGATGTGAGGGGAGGGGAGAGGTCCCTTGGAGCCTCGTTCTGTCATGGGCTGGGATCCTCTAAGGCTCAGAGACTCGCAGGGAGGATCAAGAGGAAGAAAGGCCAGGGCTGAAGAGGGGCAGAGGTGACCACTAGAGGCAGAGTCCTTCACACAAATTTCCCCAGCCCTACACTCATTAAGACAAACACACGTACATGCACACCCCTGGAATCCCACCTTCTTTTTGGTGGGGACATACAGCATACAGCCCTATCAGCTGCAGCTCTAGGCAGGGCCATCCTGGTCACTTAAAGCCCATGTCCTCCACTCATAGCTGTGCCTGAATGACTCCCTGGCCCCCAGGCCTGCCCCATTTCTTCCCATTCTCAAGATGTCTTCAGGCCACTCCTTGGTCAGTCTAGGCTGTGAGTGCCACTCTCACTCAGGGAAGAGCAGTGGGGGCGTGCCAGAGCTTCAGAGAGGAGGTGGCCGTGGTCTTCAGCAAGGCACTGGGTGGGCAGGCGGGGCTAGAGCAGCAAGAAGAGCAGTGCTGGCCAAGGAGCCCCCCACTTCCTTAGGGGATCAGTCATCAGTCTCTGTCTTCAACCCCCACAGCTGTGCCTCCTTCTTCTTTGCCAAGCTCCCTCCAGAGGAGTGTCCACTGGCGGGGGAAAGGCTGGAAACAGTCATTTAGGGAGTCCTCAGGGCCTAAGACACCTGGGCTAGTGGCACAGTGTGGAGCAGGGGCTGGGACTGTGGCCCTCACTGGGGCTTCCTCCTTGCTCTGCAGCTGGGGGACCTCAAGCTGAGTCACCTCCACCAGAGCTCTTCTTCTTGGGCCGGGTCTTCAGTGTCTTGGAAGCCAGTGGCTATGGAGGGAGGAAGATAGGGCTCAGCCTGGTGCCACCACCCCTTCCCCATCTTCTCAAGCTCTGGCCTATATTCTTACCTCAGCTTTGGGTACTTTTTTGATGGATTTGGCCCTCTTGGGTGCCTTGTCTCCCAGGTCATCCTCTGAGGCCTCTGTCCGGGGATCTGTCTGGTTTGTGCTAGACCTTAAACTCAGGGCAGGGTCATCTCCTAGTTTGGGAGAGGAAAAGAGAATGGGGGCTCAGGGGTGTCTCCACTTGGCTTTCTCAGTTGTGTCCCCCTCTCCCCAGTCTACAACAGTGCCAGTACCTAAGTCCTCAATAGTGTCCAGGAGGCCCCCAGGGCCAGGTCGGAGGCGGCCATCTGGCCCCTGCAGGGGCAACGCATCCTCATCTCGAATGAGGGTCAGGTCCTGCATGCTGAAGCTCCGGAGCTTTTCTGACAGCACCCCCTGGCCCTAGAGTCACCACCACGCACCAAGAAAGTGGGAAGGAGGAGCGGGGTGGAGATAGAGGTTACCATGGTGCTGGCAGCAGCCCCTTGGGATTCCTTTCCTCACACTGTCCCCATGCCTCAGCCTACACAAGCACTGAGAGACTGAGGCCATATTTTCCCTTGATCAGATAAAGAAACTGGCCAGAGAGTGGAGGAAATAATAGCACTAGAATCTGGAGCCCCACAAGGCCAAAGCCTCCAAGGCTGGAAGACAGGGTGGATGCCAAGGGGCCTGGACAGAGGCACAAGATGAACAAGGTGGGAGCCCCGAGAGTCTGGACCTGTCCCATCTCACCTTGGCAGCAGCTGTGACTGCGGCATTGGCAGCCAGGTTCAGGCCCCTCTTGCCCACCCTCATCATGGTCTCATAGCTCTTGTCTCGGGCTTGAGTGATGTATTCATCAATCTCCTGAGAGGATGGAAGACATGAGGGGTGGGTCTTTAGTCAAGGCCCTGTTCAACTTTCATTCATACCAGTGCAAAGAAACTACCTGCCCCAGGAGGCCAGGACCCTGCCAGGGTTACTGCAAGCTCTTGGCACCCACACAAAGAGCCACCAATGTATGTGGCACCAGCATGGGACTGCCTCTGTTGGGCCAGGCTGGGAAGGGCTGAGAGTGCCGGCAAACCTTTTCCTTGTTGGACAGTGTTGGATGCACGAACTTTCGGTAGAGAACACTGGAGCCCTTGGTATAAGGAGACAGTAGCCATATCACAAAAGCGATCTTGAGCTCAAAATAGAAGGGGAACCTGTTGGAGAACAGAGGCAAGCACAGAACACAGGGCAGGGAGTCAGGGGATGCACTGGGTTCACAGCACTGGACAGCTCCCCACCCCTTAGTATTCTGGGGTCCCCAGGAAGTTTCCAGAAGGATTAGGGGCTGAGAAGGTAAGAGATGATCCCAGAAAGCTCAGGATGTGGGTACATGCCTATAATCCCAATACGTGGGAGCCTGAGGCAGGAGAATCACAAATTGGAGGCCACTCTGGGCTAGTAAGACCCAATATCAAAGCAAACAAACCATGGGGCATATCCTTGTAATCTCAGCACTTGGGCAGTAGAAGCAGGAGAATCAGGAGTTCAAGGTCAACGTCAGCTACACAGGGAGTTTGAGAACTAGTCTGTTTCAAACAATAAAGCAAATAAGGACCCCAGAAGGAATTTCCCCTACAAGCAGCGCTCCTCACCCCCTTTTCTAGGTCCCAGCACCCCCTCTTTCCAAAAGAAGACTCCCATCCCTCTATGCTAAGGTCAAGGCCAAGGTAAGGTTTATACTCTTTACCCCTTCTCTTCCTGACCTCCTTCCATGAAGAGGGCTGGGATGGTCACTGCTGCCAAGACATGCCCCCAAAATTGTTTTTCTTTTGTAGTACTGGTGATTGAATGTAGGGCCTACCACATGCAAGGCAAACACTCTGCTACTGAGCATATTACATCTCTGGCCTTTAAAAATATTTTATTTATTATTATTTTATGTGTATGAGTGTTATGCCTGTATGAAATGCATCCATGTCATGCAATGCCTGCAGAGGGCTGAAGAAGGTGTCAGATTCCCTTGGAACTGGACTTATGGATGGTTGTTAGCTGCCATGTGGGTACCAGGAATTGAACCTAGGTCTTCTGTAAGAGCAATTAGTGCTCTTAACTACTGAGCCATCTCTCCAGCCTATTATTATTACTATTATTTTGGTCTTTTTGAGACAGGGTCTCCCTGTAGCCCCAGCTGTCCTGGAACTCACTATGTAGACCAGGCTGACCTTGAACTCACAGAGATCTGCCTGCCTCTGCCTCCCGAGTGCTGGGATTAAAGGTGTGCCCCACCACACCTGGCAGCCTCTTATTATTTTTATTTGTATGAGTGTTATGTCAGCATGTATGTAAGTGCACCCATGTCATGAAATGCCCACGAAGTCAGAAGAGGGCATTGGGTCCCCTGGAACTGGAGTTAGTGTTGGTTAGCCACCATGTGGGTGCTGGGACCCCAACTTAGGTCCTCTGCAAGAGCAGCTAGTGCTCTTAACTGCTGAGCCATCTCTCCAGCCCCCATCTAGCCTTTTAAATTTTTTAAAAACTTTTTATTTTTGGTCTTTTTGAGACAGGGTCTCCCTGTAGTCCCAGATGGCCTGGAACTCACTATGTAGACCAGGCTGGCCTTGAACTCACAGAAAGCTGCCTGCCACTGCCTCCCAAGTGCTGGGATTAAAGGGGTGTACCACCACAACCGGCACATTATTTTTATTTTATGTGTACGAGTGTATTGCCTGCATGTATGTGAGTGCACCTGTGTCCTGCAATGCCGCGGAGGTCAGAAGAGGGCTTCGGATTCCCTTGGAACTGGAGTTAAGGACGGTTTGTAGCCACCATGTGGGTGCTGGGAATTGAACCCAGGTTCTCTGCAAGAGCAGTCAGTGCTCTTTAATCACTGAGCCATTTTTCCAGCCCTGCCTTTTAAATTTTTATTATGAGACAGTGTCTAAATTGCCCAGGCAGTTCTTGAATTTGCAATCCTCCTGCCTCAGCCTCCCAAGTAGCTGGACTTACAGGAGTGAACCACCATGCCTGGCTTTTCAATAGAGGTCAAAGGTCAGCCTTGGGTGTTTTCTCACTGGCCTGAGGCTCCCCAAGCTAGCCGTCTCTAGTGCTGGGATTACAAGCATGCACCATGTTTGGTGTTTTTTTTTTTTGGTCTTTTTGAGACAGGATCTCCCTGTAGCCCCAGCTGTCCTGGAACTCATTATGTAGAACAGGCTGGCTTTGAACTCACAGAGATCCACCTGCCTCTGCCTCCTGAGTGCTGGGACTACAGGCGTGCACCACCATGTCTGGCTGTTTGGTGTTTTTTTTTAAAGACAGGGTCTCCCAGTAGTCCCAGCTGGCCTGGAACTTGCTATGTTTTTTTTAGGGTCTCCCAGTAGTCCCAGCTGGCCTGGAACTTGCTATGTAGATCAGGCTGCCTCTGAATGCTGGAATTAAATGTAATGGCCTGGAACTTGCTATGTAGATCAGGCTGCCTCTGAATGCTGGAATTAAATGTAATGGCCTGGAACTTGCTATGTAGATTCAGTCTGCCTCCTGAATGCTGGAATTAAAACTGTGTACCACCCTGCCTGGCTTTTTTTTTTTTTTTTTAATATTTTATTGATTATTTTTTATTTTGTGTGTATGAATGTTATATGTAATGGCCTGGAACTTGCTATGTAGATCAGGCTGCCTCTGAATGCTGGAATTAAATGTAATGGCCTGGAACTTGCTATGTAGATTCAGTCTGCCTCCTGAATGCTGGAATTAAAACTGTGTACCACCCTGCCTGGCTTTTTTTTTTTTTTTTTAATATTTTATTGATTATTTTTTATTTTGTGTGTATGAATGTTATGCCTGCATGTAAGTAAGTGCACCCGTGTCATGCAATGTCCATGAAGGACAGAAGAGGCTGTCAGAGCCCCTGGAACTGGAGTTACAGTGTTGTTAGCTGCCATGTGGGTGCTGGGATTTGAACCCAAGTCTTCTGCAAGAACAGTCAGTGTTCTTAACTGTTGAGCCATCTCTCCAGCCCTCCTTTTGTTTTTTTAACATGGGCTCTAGGGAGACAAACTTTGGTCCTCATGTTTGCATAGCAAGCACTTTACCAACTGAGGCATCTCTCTACCCTTCAAGATTTTTTTTTTTGTATTTTTGAGACAGGGTCTCCCTGTAGCCCCAGGTGTCCTGGAACTCACTATGTAGACCAGGCTGGCCTTGAACTCACAGAGATCCACCTGCCTTTGCCTCCCAAGTGCTGGGACTAGAGTCATGTGCCACCACACCCGGCTCCTTCAAGATTTTTTAATTAAAAATTTTTCCTGAGACCCTGTCTCAAAAATGCCAAAATAGCTGGGTGTGGTGGCGCATACCTTTAATCCCAGCACTCAGGAGGCAGAGGCAGAGGCAGAGGCAGGCAGATCTCTGTGAGTTCAAGGCCAGCCTGGTCTACATAATGAGTTCCAGGATACCTGGGGCTATAGGGAGACCTTATCTCAAAAAGACCAAAAAAAAAAACAAACCCCAAAATATATGCTGAGTGTAGTGGTGCACAGTTTTAGTCCCAGCACTCGAGAGGCAGAGGCAGGTGGATCTCTGTGAGTTTAATACCAGCCTGGTCTACATAGTGAGTTCCAGGCCCAGCTGGGGTGACAGGGATACCCTGTCTCAAAAAGATCCCCCCCTCTAAATATTTTTTTTCTTGAGAAGTATTCTATATTGTTCAAGCTGGCCTTGGACTCCTAGATTCAAGTGATCCTCCTGCTTCAGTGACAATGTAGCTGGCACAGGCGCATGCCACTGCACCCAGAACCTTTGACTTCTGAGCGCTGCTCTCCTTTCCCATAGCTGCTTCTGTTCAGGCTACAAATTCCTTCAAGTCTTCTATATCCTCACAAAGCTCTCTCCTTTGTGTCAAGGGAATCCAGACTATCTCTAAATCACCCCCTTCTACTAAAACTATGGCTGTTAAACACAAGGGCTTTATCTACAAATGAAATGATCTTCTGTCTTCCACTCCTTGAAGTCTTTTTTCACATTTAAAAAAATTTATTATTTTTATTTTATGTGTATGAGCATATTGCCTGCATGTATATAAGTGCTACCCGTGTTGTGCAATGCACACAGAAGTTGGAAGAAGGCCTCAGATCCCCTGGAACTAGAGTTACTGAAGGTTGTTAGCTGCCATATGTGTGCTAGGAATTGAACACAGGTCTTTTGCAAGAACAGCCAGTGCTCTTAACTGCTGAACCATCTCTCCAGCCCTTCTCTTAAAAAATTTTAACTGTGTATGTATGTGATGTGTATGGGATACAGGTACATGCCATGTTACATGTGTGGAGGTCAGAAGACAACTTTCTGGAGTTGATTCTAACCTACCTTTATGTGGGTTTCAGGGATCAAACAGGTTATCAGGCTTGTGCAGCAAATGCTTTGCTGGTTAAGCCATCTTGCCTTCCTTCTCTCTCTCTCTCTCTCTCTCTCTCTCTCTCTCTCTTTTTCTAGACAGGGTCTATGCTGCCTTGGCTGGCCTGGAACTCCCTAGGTAGCCCAGTTGGCCTTATAATGATCCTCTTGCCTTAGGGATTACAGGAGTACACCACCAAGCCTGACTGTTCTATTGACTTCCAATGCACTGTGCTGTCCATCCTCTCTTCAAGAGGTATTTGCCCATCCAGTAAACATTTCTGAGCTCCTGCTGTGAATATACAGACAATTCAGACATACTCCTTGTCCTCATAATGCACCTACATTTGTGGTCTATGTGCCTGAAATGCCTTGGAAATACAAGTTTCCAATGTTTATAGGATTGAACTGCCTATTTCACAAACAGGGAAAATAAGGCCTAGGATATGATCTGCCTGTGGTCACAGTAAGGATGGCAGAAGTAGGCTCACTGAATTCCATTGTGGAACTTTGGCTGTAGCTAGAAAAAATGTGGGGCTATGTCTGTCTGTCCTTGTTCTGCTAATCAAGTCAGGCATGGATGGCAATATCAAAGGTGCTAGCGACTATTGAGAACTGAGGGGCTGGGCTCTATCCTGGGCTCCAATCTTCTTCCTGTCTAGCTGGCTAGAGAAAGGAAGAGGCCTGGGCCCTGAGATACAGGGAGGGGATACTGGACCTCACCAGGACAATATGATATCCGTGAGTGTCTCAGCTGTGGTGAAGAAGGCAAAGACGATCCAGTACATCATCCATTTCACCTGAGGGGACGAAGGGCAGTGTTAGATGGGGCCTGGGGCTGAGGAGCTATGAACACCTAGGATTCAATCTGCTAGCTCCTCATACTAGGGCAAAGGTGAGGAAGACCCAGGAGCCCATTGCTGCCTGCCAGCCATGCTGCAAGTCCTGGGGGAAAAACACCCTGGACCTCACATTTGCCAATCACACCAAGACTGGGGATAGGGAGAAGGGAATACTCCAGAACCTCTACTGTCATAAAACCACACCCTCACCATCTGTAATGTGACAAAACTGTCCCCTCTCTAACTCTGCCATGTTTGTTATGCAGGGGTTACAGTCATCCACTCACATATTCCTTCACGTTTTTGGTCTTCACGGCCTTGTAAGAAGAATAGGCTGGATACAGGGTACCAAAGATGAGCCTAGGGAGGCAGGCATGGTTACTAGGCCCCTCTCCCTCCCAGCCCTCCATCAGCCCCTGGGTAGGTAACGGAATGGGACAGAATTCTAGTGGGCCACATCAGCTGATGAACGCTGGTCAGGGATTAAGACCAAAGTAGTCAAGATGAATGAGGTGCCTTTCCCATTCATTGTTCACTTCTCTAGCCCTTGATATATGGAAAGGCCCAGAGGCTAGAGGATCCTTGGCTATGTACAAATGTCATGGGAGTTGGGGGCAGGGGTCTGGTCACTGCCAAGAGATGTCTTCCTTCTTGGCCTAATGCCCACTCAACCCATCTGTCCTTACTCTCCATCTCCTTGTCTCAGAGCTGGGTAAGGTCAGCTCCATAAGGGAACCTAAAGGGCACCTAACCAGGCAGCCAGAGCACTATTGTGGCCCTGGGGACCAGAGGGAACAGGGGCAGGAGGCCCTGGGAGAAGCAGAGATTTGTAACCTCATGTCAGCATGCCCAGGACCAGGTGGGGGTGGGGGTGGAGGAATGGGTCAAGACCCTGCCTGGGGATCCTATTATAGATCACAAATAGAACACAGGTGGGTGAGGAAAAGGAGCCATATTCCTTAGTTTGCTCAGGCCAGAAAGAAGCAGTCACTCTGAAGGCCACATGGAGAGATGAGGCCTCTAGATTTCCTGTGCAGTGGGAAAAGGAAACTCCAGTGGGTCCAAAGGAAACCAGGACACAAGCATGTGACAACACTGAATGGGAAGAAGGCAGCAGGGTGGGGCTGCTGGGATGCCAGTCCCGATGGAGGCTGAGGGCAGAGTCCTAAGCTAAAGCAAGGATTGGTGCTGAAGCCTAGACCCTTAATGTGTAGGTGTGTCTTCCCAAGACAAGGCATTACTAAACTGGGTGTGCAGATGGGTGGCAGGGCAGACTCCTCAAGCTTGAAGTCTGGGCTTGTGTGTGTGTTTAGGGTGGGGGCAAGCCCCTCTTGTAGCTGGGGGAGTTGTAAGGGACACAGCTCCACAATGTGATTGTCACAGTGTGTCTGGAACCAAGGCCATCAAATGTCCTCCCTGTGGCTTTCACAATCCTGGGCAGATAATACACATCCATCCCTAACCTCCCACACTTTGTCCTCTTATCCATGTCCTGCCTTCCTTCCTGGAAGCCTTAGGGCAGGTGTGTCATCCTCAGTCTCCAGTCAGTGGAAGCAGAAGGGCCTGAGCCCACTGGGGAGGCCAGGGAATGGGCCATGGCTCTGAGCTCCGGAATGATGAGGCCCATCTTACTCCCCACTGTCCTAATCTCTTCCCCCAGGGAAAAGGAAGGTCTGGTTTGCTGAGCTCCTTCAGCCTAGATCTGCAAGATGGGGGAGGGGATGTGCCTACCTCCCCTTATAAATGAGTCCCTGCTCAGCCTCTAGGATGGGGGAGGGCACAGGAGCAAGGCAATTAAGAATAAACTGGAGTTATTCAATAATATGGGTGAAGGTCCCTAGGAAACCAGGCCTGCCATGCTTGCCTACTGTTCTCCCTTCCAGTCTTGGGTCCTACATCTCTCTCTGGGGACCCCACATAGGGCAATTTGCCTTTAGGCGATTCTGCTGCATGAACGGGGGCGGGGGGCAATCCATCGCATGCTTGAATACCACCCTCTCGACCTCCATCACTGCCCCCACCCCATCACCCCCCACCGGGGTGAGCCCACTGCCTTTGCACTCACACCACTAGGCGAGAGATGATCCAGGACACCATGGCGGGGTCGGGCGCTGAGCGGGGCGGGCCCCGGCCCCGGCAGAGGATGCAGCTGCCCGAGGCCCAGCGGCGGAGGCAGCAGGAGCTGCAGTTAGCAGCAGCAGCCGCCGCGGTGGGGTCAGCGGAGCTGCCGCCGTTAAAGGGGAGGTCCCTGCCGCAGTAGCGGGCCGTGGGCGGTGGCGGCTCTTAAAGGGAAGGCCGCGGTGTCGGCGCCCCCCCACCCAGCACCTGCTGTGGCTGGGCATGCGCCTTCACCCTCCGTACCCAGCCTTCCTTTAGTCGCTAGTTCGCCTTCCTTGAGCTTCAAGCCAGGGGAGGGTGGGTGTCTGAGGTTCCGATGTGGGACCTCCTTGGTTCCATCCCAACATCATCTTCAGCCCACCTCCTCCTGCTTTGCCCACATCAAGTTGAAGGCTTAAATATTCCATGAAGAATAATAGCTGATTTATTGCTAATTGTAAGCCAGGCCCTGTGATAAGAGCTTTACGTGTATTATTTCATTGAATCCTCACAACCACTTTTTAAGGCTGATCTTATAATTATCTTTAACTTGAAGGATAAGGACATGGAAAGCTTAATGAGTTTTACTAACTATGCTGAGGGTCACAAAATCACTAAGTCATGCTTGTTAAGATACGACCCTAGGAAGTGTATTTTAAAACAGGTTAAATTCTCCAACTGATGACTAGGCACTCCCCCTCCACTACAGGCTGGGAAAAGATATCCACCTGAGCTCTGAAGCCAGGTACAGCTGCTCCTGCCCACTCCATCTCTTCTCAGTAAATACCAATTCCCAGCTGAAAGACTACCTGTCGACATGGTTTGATCTGCTCTTTTAGGTCATAAATTTTGAAGAGGAATAAAGCTGGAGTTGAGAAGGCATAAAATTTCACCACAAATAAAGAAATGGGCCTGGGACAGGGGAATGGGACTCAAATCAGTGGGAAGTCCAAAGACCCCAATTCCAACTCCATCAGCAAGTACCAGTGGCAGTGAATGTCCTAATTCTGAGGACATTTATATCCAGAATGTAGGCTAGCCCTCCTCCTGATCTTCAAAGAACGGAGCTCCAAGCAGCACTCCTCCACTGCTCTCCTTCCCTGTCCCATTTTAAAGCTGCTGCATTCCTATGCTCTTTATGTTGACTTGTAATCTTTTTGGTGGCCACAGTATTAACCCATCCCATCCAAACTGAAAGGACATGCTCAGAGCTCTATATTTTCAAAGAGTTTTGGTCTTATTCAAACCTAGTATCCTTGAACCACACAATGGTCTTTTTCCAATCTGATAATTATATTTACAGGCTGAATGCTTTGGAAGGTTTTCTAACAGGTTCCAGAAAAGGAGTTTCTGATGACCCCACTTGATATTCTTTACAACTTCCTTTCCAAAAGGTCTCTTTTTCTTTGGAATGCAGTCCTCACCCAGCAAGAACTTTAATTTTGCTTGATAAACAAAATCCCAGATGGGCTTTCTCCTACCATCTCTGAGGTGATCTAGGGCCACATGTGTTATGATAGGTAGCTAGGCCTCTTGCTCTGCAGAATCACACCACTGATTGCCTGAAACTCTTTTCAGACTGCACATTAGGGCCCTTTCCCCTTACCCTGTGCTCTGAAGGAGGACCCCACTTATCCCATTCCATTCACAGAGCATAAGCTGTGGGAAAAGCTTTCTTTCCACCCACCAACTCAAGTGGTTCCTTGATTTTACCCCAAACCATACTGGCCTCACACTGGCACTTTCTCTCAATAGGGCACAATTAAAAAAGCAAAGAGTAATGATCAGATGCAGCATAATAAAGTAGATCTAGAAATCAATCCCCCACCTCTAACCCAGTCTACAACATGGACTTGACTTTAGATGGGCTGGCACAGGAAGAATTTTGTCCACTCCAAACAGATTTGTTAGATTTTTAATAAGAACATGGAAATCCCAATCAGCCCTTCAACAAAATTAAAATACGGAAAGTGAAATTAAAAGTATTCTACAGTAAATGACTTTTATTTAAAAAAAGCAACTGTGAACATATAAACAAGCCTGCAGGGCACTACCGTACAGCTGGAAAGAGATACATTCCCAATGTACCTATGGGCCAATGAGTTCCATTATTTTCAAATAAAGTCATAATAAAAACTCCACTGAATTGGAAAGTTTTGCTGAAAATATTTCCGGACAAAACCCCCCAAAACAAAACAAAAAAACCTCATATTGGAAATCAAACTTTCCATACCATTTGGAAACGTACAAGGAGTCCCAAGGGAACGCTGGTAATAGGTGAAAATGGTTCCTGGAGTCACCAGTGTGTGCACACAGGGAACACACCACAGTTTAGACATGACAAAGTTCTTTCTTAGATGACTGTCCCCTCAAGATAAGACTGAGAGGGAAGGGGGAGGAACTAAAAGAATTCTAATAAAAAGCCAATTCTTATAAATTATGCTTTGGCTGATTTTGTGCTATAAGGGGAGCTGATGTCTAAAAAATCATATTTCTTCAAAGAGTTTTATTGAAAGGAAGACTAAATGTAATGTGCCTTTCCTCATAGTCCAGGAAAACAACTGTGGTATTTCAAAAATTCTAAAAATATCTACTTTCATGAAATAGTAACTATTTCACTACAAACCTATTTTTTACTAAATACACACGTTTCCTAATCCTGGAGCCTCCTGGGAAAAGCAGTGTGGGCTCTCCCTGGGTCCTGTAAGACTCCAGTGTTCATGGGAGAGAGTGTGGGGAATGGCTGACCCCCATCCCCTGGCATGGGCCATGTCAGAGGTCATGTGTGGAGACACTGTCAGGCTTCTACCAGGCATATTAAGCAATCACCTTACTTGTACCAGTTATAATTTCCTCTACCTCTGAACACATTCCCACTTACTAGGCACAAGAGGAACAGAAGAGGAAGGTGTGCCGACATTCCTGGTTTCCACTGTTTCAAACCAGGAGAATGCGCAGGAAAGCCCAGTGATGTTCAGGTAATCTGGATTCCCAAAAGGCCACTGGATGGGAATGTGGCACCCTCGGCTTGGAGTCTGAAACTGTGTGTGTGAACAATGCAACTTTCTTCTGTCAACTTCAGTGTTGAGGCAGCGTAGAAAGAATGACTGGAGAGTTTGTAATACTGACCACACTGGCTTGGGAAGGGCCTCTGCTCCTGAAGAGAACCCTGCCGTTCCCTGGTAAGTGGTGTGAGTCAAAGACCTGCTTCACAGGAGAGCTGGAATTTCCCTGTGGCGCCTAAGACCTTGCCAGTTTGGATTCATGGGCCTTGAGGGTGCCAACAGCATCTTTCACTGCGTGGTAAATGATGTTCTTCACCTGGAGAATAATCAGCACTGTCAGTTCATGGCAGCTCCACACCCTCTTCCACAAATGTTCTGCCCTGACTCTAAGCCTACTGAAGAGCTAGTGAGGAAACCCCAACCATCACGCTATGCTTCCCAAATCAGACCCCATCTTGAGTTACGAGTCATGCAGGACACAAGGTCTACATTCAAGAGAGAATGAGAAAGTCATTTATTTGAAAGGCTATACAATCACCATTGCATCTGTATGCTTAGTAACGTGCTGGGTAGCATTGCTAAGATACTTAGGTGGGCTTTTATTTAATCTTATCCATAATCCTGTGAATTATATTCTAGCATGAGCTTCATTTACAGATGAGAAACTGAGAAAAATCAAGGTTCCAGAGTTAAAAACCTTTCCTGAAGTTGGGTAAGGTGGCACATGCCTATAACCCCAGAGGCTGAGGCCAACCTGGAATATGCAGGGAGACTGTCCAAAAACCCTTGTCTGAGGTCCTGAAGCAATAAATAGTGGAACACAGATTTTAGGGGACATGCACACGCGTGCGTGCACACTTAGAAGTTGTTTGTGCTTTTTGTTTTTTTGTTTTGAGACAGGGTTTCAGTATGTAGCCCTGGCTGGCCTGGAACTTGCTATGTAGACCAAGCTGGCCCAAATTCACAGATTTTCCAGTGCTGGGATTGATTAAAGGATGAGACACCATGCCTTGTCTTACTGTTTTTTTTTTTTTTAAACATTTGTGTGTGTGTGTGTGTGTATCATCCATGTGGAGGTCAGAGGACAACTTGCAGGAGTTGGTTTTCTTCTTCCACCATGTGGGTTTTAGGGACTGAACAAATTAGGCTTGGTGGCAAGTATTTTTAACTGCTGAGTCATCTTGTTTTTTTGCCTTTCTAAAAAAATTTTATTATTTTTATTTTATGTGTATGAGTGTATTGTCTGCATGTATGTGAGTGCACTTGTGTTGTACAATGCCTTGGAGGTCAGAAGAGGGCTTCAGATTCCCCTGGATGGTTCGTGGGTGCTAGGAATCAAACTTGGGTCCTCAGCAAGAGCAGTCAGTGCTCTTAACCGCTGAGCCATCTCTCCAGACCCCCCCCCCCTTTTTGTTTGTTTTTGGTTTTGTTTTTTTTTGAGACAGGGTCTCACTAGCCCAGGTTCCTTTGAACCCCCTATGATTCTCCTGACTTAGATTCCCAAGTGCGGGGATTATAGGAATGTGCCACCATGCTCAGAGCTTATATGTATTTTCTAATTTCTCTAAAAGAAACATATATTACATGTGGAGTTGGAGGATTTAATAGTAGTAATTAAAATACTTGGCTGGTTAAAACCTCATTTAATTTTATATCTTACAGGGTTTATACTGAGTACAATATTGTGTAACTGTAATAATTAAACTGTAAACCTAAAAATTTATAGCCAATTTTGAAAGAGATGCATCTTAGCTCTGGAAATTGTTACTATGTCAATGCTATTGTAATGAAATGCTTCTTCTAAGTATGTGGTCATTAAATAAATAACTTAAAAAAGAATATAATTCTAACTAGTAAAAATAAAATCCAATTAGGTAAAAATAAATAAATAAATAAATAAAATACTTGGCTGGGAGTGGTGGCACATGCCTTTAATCCCAGCACTCAGGAAACAAAGGCAGGCCCATCTCTGTTGAGATTGAGGCCAGCCAGGTCTACATAGCAAGTTCTAGGCCAGCTGAGGTTACAAGGAGACTCTGTCTCAAAAAAAACAAAACAAAACAAAACCAAGGCTGGAGAGATGGTTCAGAGGTTAAGGCACTGGCTGCTCCTGCAGAGGACCCAGGTTCAGTTCCCAGCATACACGTGGTGGTTAATGACCATACATAACTCCACTTCCAGGGGATCTGATGCCCTCTTCTGGTCTCTGTGGGCATTGCATCA